ATGGTAAGTTCTGCTGAAATAGTTAGAGAAATGGATAAATGATGAGAATATTTACAATTCAACATTGATGTTTGCTTTCTACAGCAAAGCTTATTGCTATGATTTTTGTGTTTCCGTAACATTTTTAACTTTTCATGTTTTTTATGAAATACCCTAAGGAATTATTATTGCTTTTTATCAGATGATGGTGTTATAAATCAGAAATTATTGATAGTTTTCTTAGTTCTGTTTAGTTCTTAGTGCATTTCATCAGTGTGAATTCAATTCATTTAAAAATATATGGATATATACGTGTGTATAAAGAAAAGTGTCTGCGCCGAAAGTCATCTTGCTGAACATAGAAGAAGATAGAATGATAAGAGTCAGTGTCCCTAGTAAAGATGAGAATTCAATTCAATAAGCACTTATTACATTCCTACTATGTGCTGGGCACTAGGCACAAGTACACAAGTAACCATAAGGCAGAATAGAACCCAAGTGCAATAAGAGAGGCCATTGAGACTAATCTCCTCCCCTTGTTTTGCAGATGAAGAAATTAAGGCCCAGAGACATCAGATGGCTTGCCCAGGTCACAAGTAGGAAATAGGAGAGAGCTGGGATTTGAACCCAGAATCTCTGACTCCAAATCTAGCGTTATTTGTACCATTATGTTCATAAATAATAATAGTTTCTATTTTGCACCTTTCCACAGTTAACATAGCACTTTCCTCACAGCCCCCATGTAAGATAGGCTGCTTGGGTATTATCTCCATTTTACAGATGAGGAAACTGAGGCTCAGGGAGGTGAAGAGTTGTGCCCAAAGACATACAGGGAGAAAGGGGCCAAGTCTGTATTCAAAACCAGGTCCAGGCCAGTATCTATATTTAAATAGCCCGATCTGATTTTAATAAACAGGTCCATAGTGCCCACTTTTTCATATAGTTCCATGCTATCCAACCTCCATTTTAAACTGGATTATTATTGCTTTATGTTATTAAGCAAATATTTGATGATTTTGCATGTATGTGTGTGTTTCTATTTTTCTATCAGGCCCAACACAGAGACACTTTCATTGAAGAGCGCTATGGAAAATATAACATCAGTGATCCTTTAATGGCTCTACAGAGAGACTTTGAAACACTCAAGGAAGAAAATCATGGTGATAAGCAACCTGTCAGCCCTCACCCCCTGTCTGTGCTTAAGGCGGTGATGAAGCAATGCAGAAACATGCAAGAACGCATGCTGTCCCAGCTGGCCGCCGCAGAAAGTCGGCACCGCAAGGTGGGTCCACTGGATTAGCTGGTGGTGTCAACATCCAGGCTGGGGCTCATCCAGTACTGCCCCGTGCTTTCTTACGGCAGCTTGATTTAGCATCCTTAGAAGGGTCTGGGAAGATTTCAGCTTACCTGGAGCAGGGCTTCTTAACCTCCTTTGTGCCATAGACCCTTTAGCAGTTTGGTGAAAACAGCAGACCCCTTCTTAGAATAACATTGGTTGCCTTACCTTCAGAATTGAAGGAAATTCTGAATTTCAGTTAGAGATTAGTGTAAATAAAGGCATAATTTTTTTCTCATCCAAATTCACGGACCTCCTGAAATGTGTCCATGAACTGTAGTTGGGGGTGGTGAGGATTCTCTTATTCTAAATGTGAAATTCGAGAGTGTGCCGAGTATGTTGATTCTGGTATCATTGTTTCTTGTGTCACAACTCTAGAACGCTGTTTGTCCAGCTCTTGATGCAGTCTGAACTTTGGCAGCACACTAAGACTAGACAGAGTGTTCTCTGTTTGCTTACTTAAATGATAACTATGTGTGGTTAACAGATATTTGGGGAAAGTTGTGGCCAATAAAGTCCATATGTATAGTCACCTAAATATAAACATACATGTGCACACACACACACACACTCCTTCATAGATTATTTTCATTTACTTGCTATTTTGAATTTCATTGCATTTTCCTGCTTATAAGACCATAAACAGTGCCTGGTAACGGTTACCTTAGGGTAATTCCAGTCTGGTAGAAATAACTTTTTCTCCCAAGTCATATAGACTGCTAGCCATGAAAGCAGACCTGTGCTTTCCCTGACCTCATCCCATTGGAATCCTGGTGCCTGGGGGTTGACTCCCTGTCTGTTGTCATTGGCTGCTCAGAATTGGCCCGTTTGAGGTACTGGCAGGAGTCAACATTCCCTCAGTATCATTCTGGCCTAGGGCCAACACAGAGGGAGGCATCAGGGCATTCATTGGGGGACCATTGGGCCAGGAGAAACCACTTTAGTGAGTCAAAGCCCAGGAATCCCAGGGTTGCTATGACGCTCCCTGAATTAAACCCCTTGTCTGTCACACTTCTTCTTACCCAGGCTGGTCTTCATCCTTCTCACTTGAGTCCAGGTGTAAGGTCCAATTGAAAAACACCTGAAAACATGAAGGCTGCACTGTGGCAGGTGGCGCTGAATTTGTGTGGTACTTTATACTTTTCAAAGTGTTTTTATTTAGTTATGTAATAAGAACTTCACATGGCACCATAAATGGTATCATCTTCACTTGACAACTAAGGAAAATGAGTAGGTCCAGAGACTGACACATGTTCAAGGAAGTGGCCCCAGAAAGATTTGTTGCTGCTGCTGTGTGTGTGTGTGTGTGTGTGTGTGTGTGTGTGTGTGTGTGTGCATGTTGTGGGGGGGGAGTAGAATTAACACCAAATTCCATAGTATCATATTTCAGTGTAAGACATGCAGTGTGTTAAATCTGGTTTTTAAAGGACACTTGAAATCTCAGAGCATGTATTGGGTTCTATTAAGTGGAAGAACTTAAGCTCTTTCAACTGCACTTTAGTTATAGTATCTCCACCAAAGCAGCTGTGTTAGTCTCTAAGCCCTCCTTGGAGCCACACTCCAGGAATTTTTATTCTCCAATCAGGAAAGCTGTTGGTAAAGAAAAGTGTTAAGAAAACAGGATGGAGCATATGAAGTATGAAGACAGATGGCATGCCAAGGCTTGGGCATCAGAAACATCAACTGTGTTCATGCTGTAGAGAAGACCCTCTTCTGTCCAGAACATCATCCAGTAACATTGAGAAGTCTCCTTAAATTTTCATTCTCCTTTATAATTCTGTTGAAGCTTATAACACTCATTTTTAAAAATAAATTTTTATTGACATCTCTTGTTTTTACATCACCACCATTCCCCACTGTATCCCTCCCCTCCATTCCCTCTCAGAGAAGCCATCCTTCCTAAATAAGATTTTTTTAAAAGAGGAAGAAAAAAAGTTGAGCAAAACTGATATTTCAAAGTCTGACATTCTTTACAATTTTTCAACCCCACTGTAGTAGGCCCTAGGCCTGACTCAATACTCCTTTTTCAGATTTGGGATTAAAATGAAATGAGATACTTGGAGACCTTCTACCCATTAAGAAAAAGAGGTTGGAGGCAAAGCCAAGATGGTAGAATGTTGGGAAGCAGTGTAGTGAGTTCCCCTCCACAAACTTCTCCAGACAGATTGAAAAAATGCACCAGACGAAATTCTGATGAGGAAGTCCAGAAAAGTCATTTATCTGATCTAGCTCGGCATAAGAAGACAGAAAGGAAGTCCGCAGATACTAAGGATAGGTCAGATGAGGTGAGTTGAGTACTGCATACCTAGGGAGAGGCTGTGCACCAGGGCAAAAGGGAATTAACAGGTTGGCACAAGGTGAAAATATTGTCCAAGCAACAAATTCCCTGAAAATTAGAGTGGACCAAACAGAAGTTAAAGACTTCATGAGGCAACCAGAAATACTAAATCAAAGTCAAGATGGCCAAAAAAAAATAGAAGAAACTTTGAAGTTCAAAAACAGGAGTGAAGAAAAACATTAAAAAGGTAAACATGAATGAACAATGATAAAGGGTTAAACAAGGATAAACTGTTTACATACAAATATATAGGGAGATGATCCTTTAAACGTATCCCCTTTGAATCCTGTCATCATCATGGTTCATAGAAGGAATCCAATTAGACAAGGCCTAGGAATAATTCTATCATGGCTTGATGATCTTAAGAAAAGAATGGAAAGAGAGAAGAAGAGGAATATGCCAGACAGAAAGGGAAAGGAAGGTTAGAGAAAATTATTTCACATTATCAGGATGCATGGGTAAAATATCCATACAAAAAAGGAGAAGAGAGTAGGAGAACTGAACCTCACTCTCATCTGAACTTGTCAAAAGAAAGAAGAATACATACACATGAAATACATTTTACTCAACAGAAGAAAAGGATAAGGGGAGGGGGGAACCAGAAGGAGGATAGATTAAGGGAATGATTAGTTCCTAAGCAAAACAAATTCTAGCAATATATAAAATACTTATGGCTCTTTTTGAAGTGACAAAGAATGAGAATCTGAGAGAGTATCTGTAAATTAGAGAATTGATGAACAAGTTGTGGTATGTAAATGTGATGGAATACTATTGTGCTGAATTCATATCAGCATAATGGCCAACCAGGATTTCAGAGGACTGATGATGAAACATGCTGCCTACCTCCTGATAAAGAGATGGACTCAGAATGCAGACATGGCCAATGTGGAAATCTGTTTTGATTGACAATACATGTTTATAATGAATTTTGTTTTTCCTGTGTCCTCAATGAGGAGGTTGTGGGGGGAGGGTGAGAAAGTAGATCTTGACTTATTAAAACAAATAAAATATTTAAGAAAAGAAGGTTTATTTAACCATAGCATGGAGAAGCTATTGAGTAAGGACACAGCATTGACTTGGTTCAGCATCCCTTCCCCAGCTCTCTGTTGCCAAGCCAGAGGGAGGAGCTCCTGACTCTTCCAAGCTGGCTTTGGCACTTAAACTACCAGGAACCTCTTTTAGTGCTTTTCGTCCTAATCCTCTGGGCCAGTCAAGTCTCAAAGCTGGTTCCATTACCTTTTAGGGAAAAACTGGCCTCATCTACATGGGGTAGAGCCATATGGAACACTTGCCAATTGCTCTTACTACTAACCTATGCAAAAAAAAAAAAAGCAGGGACAGCTACCTTTTCATGTTTCTTTTTTGGGAGCAAGCTTGATCGTCATTTTGTCGTATTCAGATTATATTACATGTTGGGAGGGGTTCTGGATTTTAAGGCAGTAAGTTCATTTATGCCTCCTTCTGCCATTCTTACATAAGTCGGTGTAAGTTATGTTGCCTTTGAGAAACAGCATGCATGATATGAAGTGAGCCCTGGACCAAGAGTCAGGTGATCTGGTTTTGAATCATAATTCTGCTACCTACTTGCTGTGTGACCTTGGACAAGTTTAACCTTTTTTCTTATGTATAAAATGAGAGCATTGGATTGACTAAAATGTACATTCCCTTTCAACTCTATAATTAAGCAGAGTACTTAGGCAAGGAAGGCACCTATTGTAGTTAATTTAGTCCACTATGCAATTTTTGATACTGGATTGACTTGGATTTTGAGGTAGGCACTCTCGAAAGGGTATAACCTCTGCATTTCAGAATGTTTTATGGAAAAGAATAGGAAAGCTAAACATGTTTAGTTTGACATGCCCCATGGATTTAGGAACATCCAGTGTCAAAGGGTTCAGATGAAGGAAAGTTAGGATACTGTGGACAAAAATTCCACAGTGAAAGTCATCAGAGGAAAGACAAAAAGCCTTCAATAATGAATTTCTGATTATGCAAAGGTAAAAACAGTTTCATTGAAGAAAAGGGGAAGTTGTCTAAGGACACCAGTGTGGATACACAGGGGGAATTCCTCAACCAATTTGGATTTTAAAATGTATCTACATCAAAGGACAATAAAAAGAGATTTTTAGTTGTAATAGGGAAAAGAGGAGAATCAAAGCGAGGTTGGGGCCACTGGATTAAACAAAGAAAATATGATGGAGAGAAGGCAGAACTACTGAATGCATATTTTACTTCCTTTTTTCAGTCAAGGAGATTAATCTTTGGACTAGAAAGGATAAAACAAATAGCTAATAGGGGGTTGATAATCATGATAAGTAGGGAGATAGTAAGAGATCACCTTACAAGCTCGAATTAACTGTATCTCAAGTGTCTTCAGAACTGCCAGCTGTGATTCTTGAGGCACAGTCTTTGAAAAATCATGGAATCAAAAAGAGGTGGATAGGACCGGAGAAGGGCAGATGCTTTCTTTTTCAAAAGAATGCAAGAGAGGCTGCAAACTAACGGACAGTAGACATAACTTCACTATTTGGCAAAATTGGTTTTTTTAAAGGGGTGCTCTAATAAGGACGTGATTGCAAACATCAGCACGGTTTCATCAAATGTAGTTTGTACCAACTAGATTAACATCATTTCCCTTTTTTTGACAGTGTTACTACATTCCTAGATCAAAGGAATGCTGTAGATAGAGTTTGCCAGGATTTTAGCAATGGGTTTGACGAAGCCTGTCTTCCTATTCTTGTATACTAGATGAATTTAGCCTAGACAATGGTATAGTCAGTTGGATTTCAGAACTGGCTGGCGGATGTCTGTACCCAAAGAGTAGTCATAATGGTTCACTATCAACTTGGAAGGAAATCTATAGTGAAACTTAAGGTCCTTGAGAGTAGGCCCTGCCATTTTTGTCTTGTTTCCCCAATGCGTAGTACAGTGTCTTGCGTATAGTTGATACTTAATAAATATTTGTTGAGCTAGAAAGGGATGTAGGCTTGGTCCTGTGCTCTTTAATATTTTTAGCTGTGACTTTGATAAAAACATAGTCAAGTCAACAAGCATTTATTGTGCATTTATGTGCCATCAATTATGTGAAGTTTTGGGAATACAAATACAAGCAAAAGGAAAGATAGCCCTTGCCCCACAAGCAGGTTATATTTTAACAGTTAAAACATCACATAAAAGAAAGCTGAAAAGGTGTGGCGGACCAGGTACTGTGTGAGGGCATGTTGAAGAAAGAAGTCCAGAGAGCCAGAATGAAGGAGTAAATATGACTGCTCTGGCACTTCCTGAAAATGGAGGTTCTGGGAAGAACTGACCAATCAGAGAAAGGGGCTCCCAGGGTGGCGAGATCTTCCATCTTGGGGAAGGATGAAGAAAGAAGTCTGGAGAGTCAGGAGAAGAGCCCCCAGAGGAACAACGGAACATAAGTGGCAGCATTTTTCAGATGAAACAAAGCTGGCAGGAATTGTTATCCTACTAGATGACAGAATACCAAAAAAATTTTTTTTCTTTTTTTTTTTTTAGGCAGTTGGGGTTAAGTGACTTGCCCAGAGTCACACAGCTAGTAAGTGTCAAGTGTTTGGTCTGAGGCCTGATTTGAACTCAGGTCCTCCTGACTTCAGGGCTGGCACTCTATCCACTGCGCCACCTAGCTGCCCCCCCCCAAAAAAATTTTTTTGATTGACTAGAAAATTGAACTGGATCTAATAAAATGAAATTTAGTAGTGATAAATCTAAAGCATTGTATATGGGCTAGAAAAATTAACTTCCCGGGTATAAAATGAGAAAGTCATGGCTAAACAGCAATTCACCTGAAAAAGATCTGCGGGTTTTAGTGGGCTACAAGCTCAGTGTGAGACAACAGTCTGATATGGCAGCCACAAATGCTGATATTACATTAAGACTTCATACTCATACCAAGGAAGTGAGAGTTCCACTTAATTCTGCCCTGGTCAGCCTACATCTGAAGTATTATCTTTTGTCCTAGTCACCACATTTTAAGGAAGTTGTGGACAAAGTGTAATGTTTCACTTGAAAAAGAAAAGGACCATGGAGGACGTGATATCTGTCTTCAAATATTTGAAAGGTTATCATGTGGAAAAGGGATTAGATATATTCTGTTTTACTCCAGAGGCAGCCAGAACTAGGAGCAAATATCAAAGTTACAAAGAAGTAGATTTAGGCTTAATGTAAAAAACAACACACACACACACACACACATCAAAAAAAAACAAAACCATAATAATCACCCTTCCTAAAAGCTAGCTATCTGAAAGTGGAATGGGCTATCTTAGGAGGCAGTGGGTTCTTTCTCACTGGAGGTTTTCAAGTAAATACTGGAAGATCATTTGTTAGATATGTAGTAAAAGGGGTTTGTTGGTTAGGTGTGGGTTGAATTAGATGATCTCTGAATTTTCTTTTAACTCTAATATTATGTGATGTATAGCCTTTAATCTTATCTTATATGACCACTAATACTTGACTAAATTCTAAGAAACCATGGTGCATTTTGATATTTAGAGATGACTTGTTTGTGATTTTTTTGTACTTGGAAGGTGATCCTAGATCTTGAGGAAGAAAGACAGAGACATGCACAAGACACAGCTGAAGGAGATGATGTCACATACATGTTGGAGAAGGAGCGAGAACGGCTGACTCAGCAGGTATCATCTGGACTATTGGAATGTCAGGCTGGGTGGTTAACAGCTTCATCTTCATCCTTTGATTTCCCCACACACACACAACACACCTTTTAGTATACTTTGACAGCTGAGATACGGTCACAATTGTGTTAAAAAATAATTTTGTTAATGTTAGATTTGGAAGGGACCTTAAAATCATGTAGTCCAACCTTTTTTTTTTCAATTGATGAGGAAATTGAAGTTTATAGAGGATAAGTGACTTGCTTAAAGTCACAGAGGTAAGTAGCAGGATTAGAATCCATGTCCTATGAATCCAGATCCAAAGATCTTTGCACTATATAATGCTGCTACTACTCAATTAAAGTCAAGTGCATTTTCTGTTTGTTTATGTTTAAGAGCTGATACATTTATTACCATCTCTTAAATAATTTGTTCCCTTTTTATAGATATCCTTATGTAATGGTCTTACAGTCACAAGAACTGAGTTTGAGTCTTAGCTTCAGCCCTTGCTAACTGCCTGACTCTGGGCAAATCACCTAACGTCTCTGAGCCTCAGTTTCCTCATTCTGTAAAGGATAATAACACTTTCATTACATGCTTCACAAATTGATGTGAAGAAACCACTTTTTAACCCAAAGACTCCAGCTTCTGGGATAAGAACTCACTGTTTGACAAAAACTGCTGGGAAAACAGGAAAATAGCATGGCAGAAACTAGGCATAGATAGATCAGCATCTCACACCCTGTACTGAGATAAGGTTGAAATGGGTACATGATTTAGATATAAAGGGTGATACCATAAGCAAATTAGGAGAGCAAGGAATAGTTTACCTGTCAGATCTATGGAGAAGGGAAGAATTTATGACCAAACAAGAGAGAGAAAACATTGTGAAATGCAAAATGAATAATTTTGATTATGTTAAATTAAAAAGGTTTTGCACAAACAAAATCAGTGCAACCAAAATTAGAAGGAAAGCAGAAAGCTGGGAAACTTTTTACGGCCAGTGTTTCTGATAAAGGCCTCATTTCTAAAATAATGAGAGAACTGAATCAAATTTATAATACCAGTCATTCCCCAAATGATAAATGATGAAAGGATGTGAACAGGCACTTTTCAGATATAGAAATTAAAGCTATCTATAGTCATATGAAAAAATGCTCTAAATAATTATTGGTTAGAGAAACACAAATTAAAACAACTCTGAGGTACCACCTCACACCTCTCAGATTGGCTAATATGACAGACAAGGAAAATGATAAATGTTGGAAAGGATGTGGGAAAATTAGAACACTAATGCATTGTTGGTGGAGTTGTCAACTGATCCAACCATTTAGGAGAGCAGTTTGGAACTATGCAACTTCGTGTACCCATTGATCCAGCGATACCACTACTAGGTCAGTGTTCCAAAGAGATCATAGAAAAGGGAAAATTAAAAATTAAATGAATTTAATTATTTTGAAAAGTTGTACTCCGCAGTAACTCTAAATGAGAATATTAAATTGGCCATCTCATCCCCCAATTATAAAGAGAGTTGTCAATATGCTTTCATTTCCTATCCTAATTAAAATGTGTGGTGGTGTTTTTTCCAGCTGGAATTTGAAAAGTCTCAAGTGAAAAAGTTTGAAAAGGAGCAGAAGAAGCTCTCCAGCCAACTGGAGGAAGAGAGGTCCCGCCACAAACAGCTCTCGTCCATGCTGGTGATGGAGTGCAAGAAGGCCACCAGCAAGGCTGCAGAGGAGGGGCAGAAGGCGGGGGAGCTGAGCCTGAGACTGGAGAAGGAGAAGAGCCGCGTGAGCAAGCTGGAGGAAGAGCTGGCGGCCGAGCGCAGACGCGGCCTGCAGACGGAGGCCCAGGTGGAGAAGCAGCTGTCCGAGTTTGACATCGAGAGGGAGCAGCTGAGGGCGAAGCTGAAGCGCGAGGAGAGCCGCACCAGGACTCTCAAGGAGGAGATGGAGAGTCTGAGGAAGGCGGTGAGGGATCTGGAGGCGGCCCAGCCGGGCGGCGGGCCCGCTGAGCCCCCGAGGACGCCTGGGACCGAGTCCAGAGGCACCGCCACCGACTCCCCTTGCCTGGTGTCCGTGTTCTGCCAAACTGAGAGTCTTCAGGCGGAAAGAACCCCGGGGAGCAACGCAACCAAGGGCGCGCCTGCGGGGTCACCGGGCCCTTCCCCGTCCACGCACTCTTCCTACGCCAAAACCAACGGCCATTGTGACGTGGAGATGCAGACCAGCAGGGATTTGTTACCAAGCGCTGGGACAGAAAGCGTGAGGCCAGCGCGAGAGAAAGCTGCTGGGTGCGCCCAAGATCAGATGATAGAGAATGGTGGCCCTCCCGCGGGGACAGAGCCTCCCGCTGCCCTGGCCGCGCCCCTCCCCTCCACGGGCAGCCCTCTGTCCCCAGGCAGCACCGCCGCCTCCTCTTTGACCTCCTCCCCTTGTTCTTCACCAGTCCTAACTAAACGCTTGGTAGGGCCAGCGGCCAGCAGCCCCGGCCACCAGTCGTCCTACCAAGTGGGAATCAACCAGCGCTTTCACGCAGCTCGCCATAAATTCCAGGCCCAAGCCGACCAGGACCAACAGACCAGTGGCCTGCAGAGCCCGCCCTCCAGAGATCTGTCACCCACCCTTGTGGACAACTCTGCTGCCAAGCAGCTGGCCCGAAACACTGTCACTCAAGTGCTCTCCAGGTTCACCAGCCAACAAGGGCCCATTAAGCCCGTTTCTCCCAACAGCTCTCCCTTTGGCACAGATTATCGCAGTCTGGCCAATACCACCAGCCCAAGAGGTGACACCAGCCATTCGCCCACTCCAGGGAAAGTCTCCAGCCCTCTGAGCCCCCTGTCTCCTGGGATCAAATCGCCTACCATCCCCAGAGCCGAGAGAGGGAACCCTCCACCCATCCCTCCCAAAAAGCCTGGCCTTACCCCAGTGCCGTCCCCTACCGCTCCACTAACCAAAACCCCTTCACAGGCAGCCTCTTTAGGCACTGCGGATGACCTTTCCGGTAGCTGTTCTGCCAATGCTGTTGTAGCCAACGGCAAAGATATCGAGATACTCCTGCCTACCAGCAGTTAGTCTCTAGGAGACTCTGTGTTTGACATTCCATTGCATTTCGTCCAAGAGCTTAAAGACCGACCATTGGGTCAGATCGTGTTATTTATTTTGATAGTGGTGGGAATTTTCTTTGAAACATTTTAGTGTATTTTCACCTTTTTTGTATTTTTTTAAAAGTAGAAACTGGGTAGTTTGGGTTTTATGTCTCAGATCTTTGTACTGAAGCTGGAAAAGGCACCTCAAAGATGTCTCCAGGCTGAACAATCACCATCATGTCGTGATGGAGAAGAGCTTTTTGTGGACCAGGTGGCAACTTGTTCTCTATTCTGGGATGAGAAACATTCACTTTCAATTATGCAGAAATGATTCATGCAGATTTTTATTCCAGATGAACATGTATAAAAAGTGCCTGAAATAAGATTGCCTGCCATATGACTGTGGCTCTGTGGCAAAATACATGAAAAGGGGTCATGTCCCGACAGAAAATGAGACCTTCCAGGACTCCAGAATGTTCCAGATCAACACTGCTTTTAAGCCTTTTAGTGTGTTCTTAATACAAACTGTTCTGAAACAAGGCTGCATTAGTAAAACAAAAACCTTTTCCCTGTGAGGATGAACATAAGCTGAGAGCTTTATTAGCAAGCCCCTGCCAATCCCTCCTGAGCAGTAAGCGGTTGAGATGCTCATCTTTCTCAGACTATTAAGTGACTCCCGGCATCAATCCTTGGATAAAATGAAATCGCTAATGGTCAAATCCCTTCCCCTCTCCATCCCCCCCCCCAAAAAAATTCTTCAAGCATCTACTGTCGTGTGTAGAACTGCTGAGTCCAAAATCTTACTATTACTTGAAAAGGAAAATTGTTAAACATTCTGTGTAAATGTCTTGTGACAGAATGATGGGATCTTATTTACTATGTAATCAAAAAGCAATAACTTAAAAGTTACTCATTTTGTAATGTTAAAAATCCAAATTACACCGGTTTTACCGAGTGGTCATATGTGCTGTCCCAGCCTGCCAACATATGGTAACTGTTACTTGGGAACTAAATTAACATTTGCCTAGATAGATACATATCATATATCAGTATAGATATACATCCATGTACATGTTAACATACACACACCTACCACATGCATATAGAATATAAATTTTAGTGTGAGTATATTCTTAGAGTTTCCAGTATTGCATAAAGAAAAAGTAGAAATGCACATTAAGATTACCTACCAAAGTAGCCAGCTTGCTCTCCTTTGTGCTGCTGGGCCCCATTTAGGCTTTGAGAGGAATGGTCTCTGCAGGGCAGTGAGTAGAGTAGCTCCCTCGCTCTTGGAATTTCAAAGCTGAATCCAAATCCCTTATCATCCTGGGGAATGTTCCTGGAAGAAGGATAAGGTAATCTGACCTTTTCTCATTTTAGCAACTCATCTCTCAGTAGGACTTCTTTTCCATTTGGTAAATGGATGGTATATAGGAGATACAGATATACAGTGTAGACATTTCAAGGGAGGGTGAAGGCAGATGATTTCTTAATTTTGCATAAACTTGTCAAGGTGGTCTTATCCTCCAAAAAGTGTAGGGTCAACCCTCTTATTGCAGTCAAGACTGCTCTTAACCCAGCCTAGACAGATGAATGTTTTGTCCTTCATAAATGGCTATAGAGAATGGGATACCCAACATGCCTCCCTGGGGACACCATTTTAGTATTTAACAACACTTACAAAAGTCTTTCAGATGTGTAACTTTCAGTTCCTTCCTGCAATTTTAAATCTGTTCCCTCTTTATCTGGCATCAGTTCATGGGGAAAGCAAACCACTGAATAGAAATCACTCTGTAAATCAGTTAGTTATTTCTTAATTGGTACATAAATTCGCAGCGTTCCTGTTTTGATCTGGTGGTGGTCCATGTGCCACCAGGAGAAAAATAGCAATGCTACTAATTATTGCCCCAAGATAGCTACTCAGTGATAAATTGGAGGGGTCTTAAATTGTCCAAAGCTACTAGTGTGCACTGAATTTCATCCTCATGCTTGGCACAAATTAGCAATGTCTATGATAAATGGCTAAACTTTCTCAACTAGAGAGGGGGTCTGCAGCTCTTAATATGTTTATTACCTCTCTTTAAATGGTAATCTTAATAGTTGCATTGTGCTCTTTCTTTATGGCATAGATATAGAGAGAGATATATACTATAATGAAGTTTATTTCTTAGGAAATGCACTGAATAATGTATTTCTTCTACAGTGTAATATGGGGTGGGGAAATGCAAAAGAAAATGTGTATTTTTGCAAGTAGCCTATCTTCTGAGACAAATAAGCACAAATATTGCAATGGATCCAACTAATCCAGTTAGGTTTTATAGGTCTAGTATTTAAGTTTTGCTGTACATTGTGTGTTGATAAGTAAAAAAAAAAAAAAAAGATGATTCACATGTTGGTTATTATAATCAAGTTGTTGCAAAGCTTTGTCACTGGTTATGAAGTCCAGACACTTAACAGTAGCATTAATTGTCCATTAACACATGTAAAGCCAAATGTTTCATGGGTAATTCTTTTTTTTTTATAACAGAGACAACATTAAAACATGTTAAATCATATTGCCAAGAAAACTTATCTTGTACTGAATGAAAAATGTTGTGCAATAAGGTGCATTTTATTTAGGGTAGAGGGGAGGGGAGGGAGGGAAAGAGAAGAACTTTAGAGAGGGCACTCACTTCTGGCTTAAAAACAAAACTGGAACAGGTGTGTGCATGCATGTGCACACTGACTTTATCAGATAACTACAAAGTACTTTGATACCAGGAAGAGTCAGGATGATCACCAATTGCTTAATCAGCAACCAGATTATATTAGAGTTGGAAGAGGCCTTTAAAAATCCTCGTTTTGCAGATGAGGAAACAGCCCCAAAGACAAGGCCACACCACTGGGTATTAGCAGACCCCAGTCCTCAAAGCCAGGTTCCCCAATCTAGGTCCAGTGGCTTTTCAGTCCTGCTGCATCTTGTGGTCTGGCCTTTCTGGCCTCTCAGACAAATGAGGGGCATAAGTCAAATGACCTCAAAACTTCCTTCCAGGTCTAGGATCCTATGAAGAGTGCCTGTGGCCTACAGGAAGGCAGACGTTTATGTCTCCTTGCCTTCCAGAGCATTTGAGCCAGCTCACCAAGAGGATAACTCTACGGAGACACAGTTTCATATGGCAGCAGTAGTGGGTTTGTGTTCCTCGTGTCTCCAGCCTTCCCAGTTCCCATGTCTCTTCCCCCTTCCCCTCCCTCCCCAAATGTACTTTTGTAAAGAGTGCCTGGAATACTTAATCCTTTCAAATTAAACAGAACTTCAAGTGTCTTTTGAAACCCTGGCTTGTAAACATGGTCCTGTTTTCATAAAGATGAGTCAGTGGTGGATAATTGAACATTGTTCCATGGGAGCAATTTTTAATTTAATTGCCATAAAACTAACAAGCAGAACTTGTAAGAGTATTATCCACCTGTTCTCGTCAGCAATTCATGCACAGAGCTTTTTAAAAAGTGAACATATGGGGGCAGCTAGGTGGCACAGTGGATAGAGCACCAGCCCTGAAGTCAGGAGGACCTGAGTTCAAATCTGGCCTCAGACCAAACACTTGACACTTACTAGCTGTGTGACCCTGGGCAAGTCATTTAACCTCAATTGCCTAAAAAAAAAAAAAAAAAAAAGGTGAACATATGTATAAAAGCAACACAGCATGGTAGAGTATTAGACTTGGGAATCTGGAAGGCCTGGGTTCAAATCCCTCCTTTGATACCTGCTTTGTGACTGTGCGCAAATAATCCAATATCTCGGAGCTTCAAGTGAGCCAGAGGTGTCTACTAAGTCACAAACTGGTTACAACCTTCATCAATGCAAGGAATTCCCATAATAAAGTCACACATCCTGGAACACTGACTTCTCCATAAGGTATGGACTTAGGAGTCTCCCACTTTAACCTTCTCTTGCTCAATAACTTGCTATCTCTTTCCAACCTAGACAGCTGTTGTTTGAAGTCAAGGTGTAGCACTAGCAAACCTGCTTTTGGAGAGCATTGTTGTGAAAGCCAACCAATGTGGAAAACCTGTTGTGTGCTTCTCCAATGCTTGAAAGATCCACAATTTGATAAGTGTGGGTATTTTCACTACCAATGTTCATCCCAATCCTTAGGTTATTTCATGAATTGTGAAGGCCATAAAAAAAATTTATTCCCTAGTGGCCAGCTATGCATATTGAACAGCCTCTTTGAACTTAGCGAGGCTGGCCCATAGGCATCAGACTCATACCCAAAGCCTCTCCTACTCAGTGGGATCTGCCTGGACTTATAGTCAGGAGACATAGGCTTCAGGAGCCCAGGATCATCTCCATGCTGTGATGAGGCACCAGAGTTTTAGTGAAGGCCTATCGTACTGGATAATAATAATAATAAAAATTCTCTTACTTGTCACAATCAAATTAAGCACCTATTTCCTAGACACTGAGAAATATTAGAAAGAGTAAAAATAATCCCAGACCTCAATTAGCTAAGGACCTAAAGTGATACAAGGTCTAAATGCTCACCACAATATTAAAAATGTCACAAAGCAGTACAAGATCAATGACCAGTGAGTGGCACAGACATAGTACAATAGAGGTTTAGAGTGGGCAGAGAAGATTTCCCCGAGGAGATGGGCTCTGATCTTTCTTTTCAAACCATTCCTCACCCCAGTCCCCTAGGGCATCTACACTATTCCCCTGTGCTGAATTTATGGTCCAGAATGTTTTTTGTGATCTTGCGGAACTGGACTAACTGTAACTAAAGAGTTTCCATCGATGGAACCCTGTTTTGAAGCGGCCTGGACTCCAGGTGCACAGCTAAATCACAGAATTCAAAGCTGGAAGGACCTTCAGAGGGCAGGTCAAACAACTGTTACCCACCGTGTAACTCTTTACTAAGTTCCCAGCAAGTATTTATCCCATTTTTTGCCTGATGATCTCTAGAAATGACAATGAACCAGCCATTGTAGGGCCTTTGAAAATTCTTGAAGCAGGTGTGAAGAGGACATCTGTTCTTAATACACTGGAAAACGACGTAGGAATGATCCAAGAGCCTGCAAGAGGTGAACATCTAAGAAGCTCATTCTCAGACCGTTGTGTAGAACAAGACCCTTCTCCCCGGGACCCTGTGTGATCCTACTCACCCCACTCCCAGTTATCCACAAGTATCAAGAAATAATGATAGGACAATCCCCAATGATGTGCTCCTGTGGGAGGGTGTTGAAGTCACATTGCTCATTCTGCCTAGCCCTTTTCCTTTTCCTACGAAGTAATCGTTTGTATTAGTATTCAATTTCAGAAGCCGCAAAGCAATCTACACCAGAGCAAAACGTTTTATTCCAAGGAGCTACTCTGAAGTATTGATAAGAGTTAGGCAAAGAAGGGACTTTAGAGGTCCTCAGATCCATCTTCCCCTCCCCCATTTGATAGATGAGGGAAGCAAGCACAGGCAGGTGGACTCACCCAGGGTCACACAGATGGTTAAGGTGTCTGAGGCAGCCTGTGAAACCAGTTCTTCCTGACTCATAGTCCAGACCCGATCCCTATCTATTATACCCCGGTGCTTCTCAGGATAGCCAGCCACATGCCCAGTGTGACTCCAGAAACATACGGAGAGACCCCCTTGGAAAAAATATCTTCCCTATATTTGTCAAATCAGCCAAAATCCCAAGGTCAGAGAATTATCCCTTTGTGTTAAGTTATACTTGCATTTTACTTTTAAAAGATAGGGTGAGGAGAACATTTTGTTATCAGTCTATCAGCCTCTTTTACTTGAGTGTGAATTATCCTAAAACCTACTAGCTGAAAGCATAGCATGCCAGGCCTGGAGTCAGGAAGACTCATCTTCCTGAGTTCAAATCTGGCCCCAGACACTAGCTATGTGACCTTGGGCAAGTCACTTAACCCTGTTTGCCCCTGTCTGTAAAATGAGGTAGAGAAGGAAATGGCAAACCTCTCCAGTATCCTTGCCAAGAAAACCCCAAATGGGGTCATGAAGAGTCAGACACAACTGAAAAATGACTGAACAACAAATGTAGGGCAAAATACATAATGGGTTGTTTGTCCTTCATTCTTGAAGAGGACCATGATATCAGGAAGGTGATGCCATAACTTGCAAGTGAATTGGATTACAGTGAGGGAGGGCTGTGCAAAGTCACCAGCCTCACTTTCTCCTCCAGAGCCTTCTGGGTCCAGGGGTGAGATATATAGCTCAGGATGACCGGAGATGGCCTTGGATGCAGTGGGAAACTTTGGCTTTTTAAGGTAAGGTCTTTAACAGGTCTCAGTTTGACTGAGGCAGCGTCCATTCGGTGATTAAAGCTAGGTAAGGAATGAGATAAAGATTGACCTTTTTTACCTGGTCAAAAAAAAAAAAAAATCAGTCTGGGAGGGGAAGCCCTCAAGGTTTCTGGCCAAAACAGAAACAATTGCTACTCACTGTGAGCCAATCAGGGCCCAAACACTGATCAAGTTGGGGTTGGCCTGGAACCAACATAATATAGTTCACTATATATGTATATATATATATATATAAAAAATATAACTATTATATATATAGTTAACTCTAGTTATAGTAATATAGTAAAGGAAGTTTAAATCAGAAAAAGTCATTTGTCTGGGAAACATTTGTCATGGGAAACACCAAATTGGATCTCCAGGAGCTGGGAGTTCAAAGACAAAAACAGGATCATCCCTGCCCTATTACATTTCCCGCAGCTTACATTTTACGGGGGGGTGGGATACAAGATAAAACATATACAGGGTAATTTGTGGGAGGAGAAAACACTGACAAACACCAATAACCAATCCACTTTTTATGCCAAGTATTAGAGGACCTTTAAAGGAGAGAAGACTAACCGGGTGAGTCATTTCTGTAACACTGGAGCACTGTCCAAGGAGGGCATTACTAGGCAGAATGCCATAGTGGGCAGCAAGATGAGCCTGGTCACTTCCCAGCATTACGCTGAGACCCAGCCTATTAGACTGAGGGCAGCTGCCTCCACCTCAAGGTGTGAGCCCTGCTGATGAGAGTCAGGGACACGAAGAGGGGCAGATTTGGTCTGCAGTTCTGAGAGAAGCCAGGAATGGGATCTTCCATTTGAAAACCATAAACTTTCACCTCTTGGGAGACGATCCTATGACAGGGAAGCATGATGGGGAGAGGGGTTCTGTGAGCACCCAGCTGCACTTTGAGGGACCAGGTTATATCAAATTAGCCTGAACACACGTAGCTCCTTCCTGGTAGGGAAGTGTTTTTGGGGAGTTGTCCAAAGTCTGGCTGCTTCTCAGCTTTCCCTGACTGCACCTCCAGCCCCTCCTTCCTCTACTAACCCACTTCCTTCCCAGGGAGTCTGCTGTTTGATGTTACACACCTAGACTGTCTCACATTCCAGCTCCCGGCCCCTGCCTCTACTCCTTGCCACAAAGATTCTGTCTTCATGTCCCTGGACTGGTTTGACCACTTGGGGTGGGGGGAGGGAAGGTTAGAAAAGTATTGTCTACTAAGCTCTGGCCCCGTCTTTATGGGCTTTGGAAAACACTGGCTCACAAGGTGTG